CTGCTCCCCTCAGCAGTGTACTTCGTTGATCTGCCTGTTCTGCTCCTCACTGTCTCTGGTGAATCCTCTCACCCTCTGCATCTCTGGCCTGTACCCTAGTTCTGTATGAATAAATAAATAAATCTTTTTTAAAAAAAAAGAATAGGCCATATTAATTAAATAAGAATTTGAGTACTATTGCTCTTCTATGCTGATAGAGGTCCAGAAAATTCACCGAGGATTATATTAATTCCACTGAATTTACTAATACACTAATGTTTTCTTTCTTTCTTTCTTTTTGAGTAATCTTCCTCTTTGAGGCATCAACTGGAAAACCATTAGGTGATGGAAAACTTCTTTCTCATAAGGTAATGGCCAGTGTGCATTCTAGTTCAAGCATTTTGCCTGGAAGCATCACAGTTAATGACTAAGCACTTAGTAAACATTAAATAGATGTATATGCAAATTAATAGACTAAAGAGTGTGTCTTACATGTCCATTGTCTGTGCTCTTTACTACTTTCCAATAAATTGTTGATGAAACTTTCTGAAACTCTCAGTAAATAAAAATATATTTATATATATAGAAATATTTTGTTGTTTCCTCAGTGTCCATCATTAACCAGTATTTTCTTTATATTGAGAATAGTTAAACTGAGAATAAATCTACAGATACATGAAAAAAACCCTAAATTTTGATTGTTGGCTTCTGATTTGGCCTTCAAATAAAAGGGGACAGTTAATTGAGTTACCCCTCTAGTAAGTGACATGTGAAGGTCTAAACATGGTTTTAACCTTACTAGTTAAAGCCAGTACTAATGCCAGTAAGATGTGACTTTCTTTTTGAATTATTTTAAAATTGAATGTTACACATTCACATGGTTCAAACATCAAAGAGCATAAAAAAAAGTATACAGTGAAAAATTCTCTGTCCTATGCCTGTTCTTTAACACTCTTGCTTCTTTCCACCAAAAAGTGACACTGCTCTTAATCTTATATATCCTTTAAGAGATTTTTGGCACTATGTAAACAAAAGTGATAGGTTCTTCTCTTCCTCTTCTAAGAAAAAGTAACATACCTCCCTGCTCCTTTTCTACAACACTTTCTAGAGATCCTTCATATCAATACAAAAGGACCTCCCCAACCTCTCCACCCCTACCATAGTACAACATTTTATGGGTATTTCAGAATTGACTTAAGCTGGGCCTAAATGAGGTATACTTAAGTGTTTCTAGTCTTTTGCTGTTGCATCTTCTTGTACAATGTGTTAGTGTATCTATGGGATAAATCTTGGAAGTGTTATTGCTGGGTCAAAAGATAAGAGCATTTGGGCCCTCCCTGGTGGCGCAGTGGGTTAAAGCACAGCACTAAGAAGCTAAAGCCACTTCTGCATGAGTTTGATCCCCACCTGCCCTGGAGGTGACCACATGGCACGGCAGACCTCTCCTGACCTGCCCGCTGCTCCCCTCAGCACTGTACTTTGTCGATCTGCCTGTTCTGCTCCCCACTCCGTCTCTGGTGAATCTGCTCACCACCCCTGCACGTCTGGCCTGTACCCCAGTTCTGTATACAAAAACTAATGAATCTAAAAAAAAACAGATAAGAGCATTTGTAATTTTATTAGTATTGTCAAGTTACCTTGCAAAGAAATTGTATCAGTTTATGTTCTCACAACTATTTTGTTGCCTGTTTCCCTACAATCTCTCCCTTATAATCATTTTAAATCATGTATATATAGAGTTTTTTCTTTTCGGTAGGGCCAAGTATTATTAAGAGGAATTAAGTTTCTCAGCTTTTCAAAGTATCATTATTATTTTTGTTAGTAGGATTGAAATGATGGTCAAATGTCTCAGCTTTTCTTAGTAGGGTTGAAATGAGAATCATTTAATAAAGTTTAATAAACAGTTCTGAATGTGATAATTCTTTTTCTGGAAAACTCTTCCTAAGTGTACAAAATTTTCCAACTTCATTCTTGTGACTTCCTCATAACACCTCACTCAATTTCATAGAACTTTTTTTTTAATCTCTTATCTTGTATATATATATATATTTGCACTCTACAGAGTAATAGAAAAAATTAATGTCCTTTGTTTTATACATAAAGAAAACTAAAATTCAAGACTTACCCAAACTAAGTGGAACCAAACCTAAACTCAAGTCTGTCTCTTTTTTAAAGAAAAATTAACTAGTGTGGAGACAGAGATGAAAGTCCTAATAAGCATGAAGCTGTTTTCATATCCTGCTACAAAGAGTAACTCATGAAGAATAGAAAAAAAGTGGACACAGTAGGTGTGTACAAGAGGAAAATCTGTTTTTAAATTATTTAATAGGGACATTTATCATTATAAGCAGGAGAGTGATATTTCATCTTTAAATAAGGAAATGTTCTTATAATTAAATAATTTAACTGATCTGATGTCAGACACTAAAACTAATCAGTATTTTCATTTCTTTTAATTATAGAATGAAATTTTGGAAATCGCACTGGATCAAAAAGGACTTACCAATGATAGAAAAATTGCTTTTATTGATAAAAATAGAGATCTCTATATCACCTCAGTAAAACGGTTTGGGAAGGAAGAACAGATTATCAAACTTGGTAAAATAACTTTAATACATTTTAAATTTTAATTATTAAATTTTCTTAGTTCATTCTATCATATATTCAATATCTTGCTTGCTTGAATTTATCACTAATATGTTAGTCTCAATAACATTTCGTAGTTATTTAGGTCCATTTTAAAAGTAACTCCTTAGCTGTTACAGCTAAATTGGCATTGAAAGAAAGACTTGCAAATTAAAAAAGTAATCCTTAAATTTGTATGTACCACTTTTTATGTTTTCACCATTATATGATCAGAAAATAGTATCATACTTATCAGAAATAGGTCAGCTCTTATATGTCAGCTATTTAAAAAATATATATTTAATGCTTAGATAGTAAAACTAACAGGACATTTTTTAAACTAAGGAACAATGGTGCATACCTTGGCATGGAGTGACACATGTAATATACTTTGTGGACTTCAGGATACTCGATTCACAGTGTGGTATTACCCCAACACGGTTTATGTGGACAGAGACATTTTGCCTAAAACACTATATGAGAGGGATGCAAGGTAACATCTTATTGCATAGAATTCTGTTTATTGTGGTAAATAGAAGAATATGGTTTTGCCTCTAAATTCAATACTGCAAGATAATCTTTCACTTTCTTTTTCACTTTAAGTACAATGTTTAGTTACTGTTAGCTTGAGATTTAAATGATAGCATCAAGTTGGGATTGTTGTATAATCTGAATTATTTGTTCCTTATCTGAATATAATTTTCAAGTTTAGTGTTAATTGATAGTAATTCATGTCATGTTATTCAATGTGATTTAGTGATTTTAATATAGGCACTTAATATTTCTCAGTGAAGTCTACAACCTTATGAATCTTTACTTCATCCCAGATTATCACTGATTTTAATGCTTTCAGGAATGTATATCTCTCTTTACAATTGAATTCCTAAATTAATGTTAAGATAAAAAAAAGCAAGGTTACTATAAAGCTTAATTTTATATACATTAGAAAATCAAATCAAATTCATATTCCTAAATTTTCTAAAAAGTAGTACAGTACTTTGATAAACAGGACTATGAATGCTTTTCAATTCCAAATTTTAGCTTACTTTACAAATCTGAGTTCATTGCCAGTTTTCAAGTTCATAACCTTAGCCAAACCAGAAGTGTCATTTTATATATATATATGTTTAAATTAATTGTAAGTTAGTCTTTTTACCTAAAGTATACACCAGTTTATAAGAAAATAATCTTGTACTTCAGGTTAATTTTTAATAGTTTACACTTTTCTATTTTTAAAAGCTGATGCTAAGTGATGTAATCATTTGTGTGATATACCTTAGATTTAGGAAAAAAGTTCATTTCAAATACTTTAAGAATAGCTCTTAAGTATGTGATGACTTTTTGCCATTTGAAAGTGTATATTTGCTCCAGCTGTATATAGCAATGTAGAATCAGATGTTTATTTCTATATATACATTATCCCCAGCATTAACCTTTGGGGGGGGGGTTGCATTTTGGAAGCTGAAGATTTCATTTGCATATCAGAGATCACTTTCCAAAAGAAATATCTATGAAATATTTTGTTCAGAATAATATAAATTGCTCTTTGCTTTATTCCACAGTGAATTTAGTAAAAATCCTCATATTGTGAGTTTTGTTGGAAATCAAGTAACTATCAGGAGATCTGATGGCTCACTGGTTCACATCAGCATATCACCATACCCTGCTATTCTCCATGAGTATGTGAGCAGTTCAAAATGGGAAGATGCTGTGAGACTTTGTCGCTTTGTCAAGGTGCTTTACATTTCAGGCCCATAGCTGTGTATATAGTGTGTTGTAGTTTACACAGTGTCTTGTGCAAGATGATTAATAATGGCTATAACTGGAAAAGTTGCAGATGGAATTATGTATTTTTCTTAGCAAGTAAAGACGTGTGATATGGTGATGAATGTTGCTGTGTGATTTACTCTCTGTGGAATATAATTTAAATTCATAATTTATCCTTACTAGTACATATAAAAATCTTCTGTGGAAAATTTTTTTTTAAGATTTACTTATGCATACAGAACTGGGGTACAGGCCCGAGGTGCAGGGGTACTGAGAAGATTCACCAGAGACAGAGTGGGGAGCAGAACAGGCAGATCAATGAAGTACACTGCTAAGGGGAGCAGTGGGAGGGTCAGGAGAGGTCTGCCGCCATGTGGGTCACCTCCTGGGCAGGGATCGAACTCATGCTGAAGTAGCTTTAGCTTCTTGGTGCTGTTCTTTAACCCCTGTGCCACCAGGGAGGGCCGTGTGGAACTTTTAAAAGCCATGTTTCCCAAGTTCTAGCCAACCACAGAAATTCTAATTTATTAGATGTGGATGGGACAGGGGCATATTTTTTTAAGTTCCTCAGCTAAAGAACTTAACAGCTAAGGTTAAGCAACTCTTCTTTCAATCAGTGTTTTCAACTTGGTTGAATCCAGTATTTTCAAACATGTTGGAACTCTTTTATTTTACAGTGGTTGGCATCCCTTACAACTTCTAGATGTTTTTACCTTACAATGGTTTTTCATAACAATCTTCTATAATAGCACTGTCTTAATACCTTACCATTCCTCTGGCTCCCTGTAAGTTACATTAAAAGTTATGTTTAGAAATAAATTTTTGATAAAAGAAAATTTTCCAAACCTTATTTTTTTGATGATTTTATCTACTTTCTTTCATTTTTATTTATATATTTTTATATCACTTCTCATTTTCCACAATGTTCAATTTCTCCTTTTAGGTATTGTCCCCATAAAATTACTACAACCAAGCCCGTGAGCTGTCACCATGGTGTCTTGTGCTCTTCACTCCCTGTTTAGACCCCTCTCCATCCCCCTCCCCTGCTAGTAGTCTTCAATTTATAGTTTGCCTGTTAGTTTTGTCTTTTATTTTTACTGATCTCTTGTATGGTTATCCTATATTCCTCCCATAAGTGAAATCATCTGATATTTTTCCTTTTCCTTCTGATTTGTTTCACTGAGCATAATCCCTTCCATCTCCATTCATCTTTCTATGAATGGCATAGTTTATCTTTTTTGAGTAGTTCTTTTTGATCCAGTAAAAGTAGCCATATGAATTTTCATATGTTAATTATCCAGTTTTTCAAAAGTGTCATACTCAGTCATTTCCATTTTTTAGTTAAAATATGATTTCATTTTTTAAAAATTTCTGTTTTAAGGAATTACAGCAATGTAGTTGAGATCATTGTTCTCATGTTTCACTTTAGGAGCAGACCATGTGGGCTTGCCTAGCTGCTATGGCAGTTGCTAATCGAGATATGACTACTGCAGAAATAGCCTACGCAGCAATTGGTGAAGTAAATAATGTTTAATTATGTGTATCTGTGTATTTGGTATGTTTTTAACCATAATTTGTTATATTTCTATTACTAGCTGCTAAAATATGTATTTTTTTTAGATTGATAAAGTTCGGTACATCAATTCTATAAAAGATCTTCCATCTAAAGAATCGAAAATGGCCCACATATTAATGTTTAGTGGGAACATACATGAGGCTGAAATAGTACTTCTTCAGGCTGGCCTTGTTTATCAAGCAATTCAAATAAATATTAATCTCTACAACTGGGAAAGGTAATAAAAATGATTTTGCTATTTCCAAAACCAGATTATATTCTTAATGTGTTATATCTACCACTTAGTAATTTACATTGTTTGCTCTACTTGTTTCCTAATGCCATTGAAGTATTTATTTAAATCTATATTGTGAGTACTTGACCATTAAAGATGTATGCTTTCTCTGAATTGTGTTTGATTAGAAGTGGTAAAGAATAAAAAGAAAGTTTAGGCTGTCTGAAATTTCTGATTTAAGTAACTGAATATATAGTAATTCAAATATTAGCAAATTTGGAAGGGAATATACTGAGTTTATTTTAGGCGTGTTGAATTTGAAATATTTGTGAAGTGATATGTGGTATTAGTTCACTAGTGACCAGAAACTCATGAGAAAGATTTGGAGATATAGGTTTAGGAATCATTAGCAAATGCATGGTAGTTGAAGCCAGAGGAGTAGATGCATTTGCCTGGAGATTTTGCGGAATGAGAAGACATCAGATATTATAGGATGGATGAAAGAAGAGAAATCTGCTGAAAGATTGGGATAAAGTTAGTTAGACAGGCAGCGAGAAGAACCAAGACAGGAAGGAGGATGATTGGATTTCAGCAAGGTGTGGCCAGTTGTAACCTCCACCACTACATCTTGCCTTAGGACTGACAGGATGCTCCTTAGAATAGAACTCTTCTCCCTGACATAGGCTCCCCCACTCCCTCCCTCAGGTTTGTGTCTCTGTGAAACTTCATTAGATTTAGGCTTAATGCTTGCTTTTCTACCCTTTTGGCAAGGCTCCATCAGAGGTGGTATTATATATACTTTCATAGTGACTGTTTATCTTGATGGTGATTACCCAGATTCACTATTTTGATACTCTTTTAATTCTATCCTTCTAGAATTCTAGAAAGATAGTTTAAATATATTGGATTATAAATATATTAGGTTGTTTTTAAGACCCCTGAATTTCTATATTTGTTTAAATCCTTTAGAAAAGAACAGATTTTATTTTGTTAATATGTGTTATTGCACTTGAGAGGCACATTCTTGCTGGTTTATGCTCTATTATTCATACTTGAATTTGAAAATTGCCTGCAGCCTAATAAGATGCAACCCTTGAAGAGTTATAGGTAAGCAAATCATCGACTTAACATTCACTTTGAGAATTTATTGGTAGTCTGTTCTCAAATAGTTTAAAAAGGTAAAAACTAGAAACACTACATGTATGTGATTATAATATTTATGTAGTAATAAAAATAATTCTTCTACTTCTTGTTATACAAAGTGATTTTGATTCATTCCAGTTAAATAAAAAAATCATATGGTGACGTTAAAACATCTTTTTATATAGCCTCTTCCTATTTAAAAATCAGAGAAGAAACATGGATTTATTCCAGCTCCATAATCTAATGTCACATTTGTTTGGTTGCCAAATAACCATTTTAAAGCTAGAGACATGCTGTTCCCATAACCCTTATATAATTTAGAGTGAATTCCCTCCCAAATGTGGCAAGGAAACATTTTTTTACTCAGGATGTGTTTTTAGAGAACAGTTAAAATAGCATATATCATTTGAATGGTAACCTTTACCCTTTGCTTTCAACCGGATTACTAGTGCATATTTATAATTATTATAACTTTAATCATAGTCTAGTATCTATCTAAATGCAGAATTAGACATCATCTTCTGCCTTTTCTATATAATTAAATGTATTGATTTTTTAATAACATCTCTGTATCTCTTTGGAATATTTTTAAAACCCTAAACCCAGAATTAATGCTGTGTACTCTCTACATAGAGCACATCCAATTTTGCTCCATCAAGAAATCTTTCCCCTGTCATATACACTCATAAATAAAGAATGGGAAATGGAGCTTCTTAGGTGCTTCAGAGGTGGTTCACCAGCATGTCACCACTCACATATACCCCACTAGAATTCAGCCTGAGGAACATCAGGATATAAAGGGGGTGTGTAGAAGGATTAAGACATTTATTTGCATTCCTTATCTTTGGAGCCTGTATGAGTTGTTTTCCTTCTTTGATTTTCTTTTATTCTGTATTTTAGTGCCTCTAACCTGGCTATATTCTCTTTTTCTCTGAGAGGCTTAAAGTCACAGAGGAATGAAGGAATTTTGTGAGGCATTTGTGATAAGTAGCAAATACTGATCCTTGGATTTAGCAATAGGATTTTTAGTGTGTGTATGTAGAAAGGGGTTGTGTTGCCTTCTGCAAATATAGTTTTACCTCTCCTTTTCCAATTTAGATTCTTTTTATATTTATTGTGTAATTGAGCTAGTTAGGACTTCCAATACTATGTTGAATAGTATGATGGTCATGGACACTTTTTCTTGAACCTAATCTTAGAGGAAAAGTTTACTGTTTCTCACCATTTACTATTAAGTTGGGTTGATATCTGGGTTGATATCTACCTGGCCTTGATTGAGATGGATACCTTCTATCATCATTTTATTGAAAAATTTTGTCACAAAAGATTGCTGAAACTTATCAAATGCTTTCCTGTGCATCTGTTGATATATGATTTTTTTCCTTTCCTTTGATTGTTGAGGTGAATTGCATTGATTGATTTGTTGATTTGAATCATCCTTGCATCTCTGAGATAAATCCCATGAATCATGAATTGTGATCCTTTTAATTTCTAATTTGATACCATTGTTTATTATTCAATTCAGTTTGCTAAGATCTTGTTGAGGATTTTTGCATCTGTGTTCTTCATGGATACTGGTTTTCTTTCTTTCTTTCTTTCTTTTTTTTTTTTTTTTGACTACCTTATCTGCTTTGGTATCAGAGTAAATATGTTTGGAAGCATTCTCCTTCAATTTTTTTCTGAAGAATTTGAGAAGGCTAGTTACTAGTTCATCTTTGAAGGTTTGATAGAACTCACTATTGAAACCACCTGGTGCTAATATTTGAGAGACTTGATTATTGTTTCAGTTTCCTTGCTTGTAAATGGTCTGTTCAGGTTCTTGTTTCTTCCTGATTCTGTCTCAGTAGGTTGTATATTTCTAAGGTTTTCTTCTTTCTTCTAGAATACTTAATTTATGGGCATAAAGGTGTTTATAGTACTCTCTTATGATCCTCTATATTTCTGAGATGTCTATTGTAACTTCTCTTTTGGAGAAGTTCTATAAGTTCTTCTGTATTGGAGTATTCTCCCTCCCCCCCCCCTTTTTTTCAGTAAGTCCAGCTAAACGCTTGTTTATTTTCTTTATTTTTTTTAAAAACTAGCTTTTGGTTTCATTGATTTTTGGACTGCCTTTTTTATTTCTAGTTCTTTTGTTTCTTCACTGATATTATTTCCATCCTTCTCTTGACTTTAGTTGTTTTCATTCTTCATTTTCTAGTTCCTGATGGTATATGGTTAGATTATTTATTTTGAGATCTTTCTTATTTTCTGTTTCTGAATAACTTTCCTCTTATTACTGCTTTTGGTGTGTTCCATAGATTCTGATAATCTTGTCTTCATTTTCTTGGTATCCACATTTTAAAAAATTTCTCCTTTGGGGCCCTCCCTGGTGGCGCAGTGTGTTAAAGCACAGCACTGAGAAGCTAAAGCCACTTCTGCATGAGTTCGATTCCCGCCTGCCCCAGAGGAGATCCACATGGCAAGGCAGACCTCTCCTGACCTGCCTGCTGCTCCCCTCAGCAGTGTACTTTATCCATTTGCCTGTTCTGCTCCCCTCTCTGTCTCTGGTGAATCCTCTCACCCTCCACATCTCTGGCTTGTACCCCAGTTCCATATGAATAAATAAATAAATCTTTTTTAAAAAAATTTCTCCTTTGATTTCCTTGTTAATTCAATAGTCATTTAGTAGTATGTTGTTCAGTCTGCACACATTGGAAATTCTTACCACTTTCTTGTAGGGGTTGATTTCTAGTTTGATACCATTGTGGTCAAAGAACATATTTAATGTAATTTCAGTCTTCATGAATTTATTGATCCTTGTTTTTTGGCCCAATGTGTGTTTTACCCTCAAGTATATTCCATGTGCACTTGAGAAGAATGTATACTCAGCTTTTGGAGGGTGACTGCCTTGTAATTGTCTATTAGACCCATTCCTCATAAGGCTATTATTTCCTTGTTAATTTTCTGTCTTACTGATTTCTCCATAAGTAGAGTTTTGAAATCCCCTACTACTATTGTATTGTTTCAATGTCTCTCTTTAGATTGTTAGTAATTGTTAGTGTATATTTTGATGTCCCTTTATTGGTACATGTACATCAATGATTATCATGTCTTCTTGATGAATTGATCCCTTGATTACTAGTTAATGTCCATCCCTTTCTTCTGTTACTATTTTTAGCTAGAAGTCCATTTTATCAGATTTAATTATGGTTCTCCTTACCTTTTTAGGATCCTGTTTGCTTATAAGATTCTTTTCCAACCATTTATTTTGAATCTTTGTTTTGGAGCATATATATTACCTTTGTCTTAGATGTTTGTTTTTGTAGCTTAATTCATCCTGTACACAGTGGAAAATTGGAATTTGTTTTCTGAACCAACCAACTACTCTGTACCTTTTGATTGGTGAGCTCACTCCATTTGCTTTTTGGAAAATTATTAATCTTTAGTTTTTCCTGATTCTGTTTCCTTTTTCAATTATTTTGTTAGTTTGTTTTTTCCCTGCTTCAATTTATATAGGAGAACTTTTTTTCAACATTTCTTATAGGAAAGGTTTGGTATTGGCACACTTCTTCAGGTTTTGCTTGTCTGGGGAAGTTTTTGTTTTTCCCTCATATCTGAAAAACAGTCCTACAGGACATAGTATTCTTGCTTGGCAGTTTTTGAGTATTTTCATCCATTATTCCATTCTTTCCCTTTCTGTAATATTTCTGCTAATGTAAGCCTGATAGGATTCCTTTATAAGCTACATATTTTATTCCCCTAGCCGCTTTCAGTTTTCCTTCTTTATCTCATTTCTTAATAGTTTCACCACTGTGTGTCTTACAGCATTTATGTAACCAAATGTTCACTTAGGTTCTTCCTATTTAATTCCTTTTCAGGTGTGGGAAGTTTTCTTCTATTTTAATTTAAATAGCCTGTTTCTCTCTCTTTCCTCCCCCTTCTAGGATACCTATAACCCTTATGTTGACTTTCCTAGTGGACTCAGATTATTATCAAAGTACTTATTTCTTTTTTTACATCTCATTTCTCTCATTTCTTCAGCCTGCCTGGGTTTTAATGTATTACTATCTTCAAGGTCACTGATTTTATTCTCTGTTTGATTTGAATTTGTTACTTTAGTTTTTTAAAAAAAATTGTTTTATTTATTTATGTATACAAGAGCTGGGGTGTAGTCCAGTGGTACAGAGACAGAGAGGGGAGCAGAACACTAAGATCTACTGAAATACACTGCTGAGCGGAGCAGTGAGTGAAACAGGAGAGGTCTGCTGCCACATGTGGCCAGCTCCCTGGCCAGGCATCAAACTCATGCCATAGTAGCTGCAGATAGTTTCATAGTGCTGAGACCTAACCTCTTGTACCACCAGGGAGACCCCTAATTTCTGTTACTTGCTTATCTAAAACTTATATTTCTACCTTCCTTTATTTCTGAGCTCATTAGTTTTTCTGAATTTTGTTATATCTCTTTGATTAGTTTTCCTAAAGAGAACTTGAGAAATAATATACTCTGAGTGTTTTGATTTCTGAATTTCCTTTACCTTAAACAAGATGACATCTAACAGGGTAGGAGAGCTGCTACACCACCAGATTGTCTTGACTTAATATGAATTATGCATAGGACTATGTTGTGAGATGCCACCAGAATCTGTGTATAAAAATATACTTAAATATTTAAATTTAAATATTTCAATAGACTTAAATATTTAAATTAAAATTAATACTATTAAGTAGTATTAATCTTTTCATTTCCCTCCAAATTATCATTACATAGGTTTTGTATCTTCAGTGTTGAGGCATTGACTTCAGCATCATTCGATTAATTCTCATCTACTGTTTATAAAATATAGATAGCTATTAATTAGGTTATAAAGTTTAATGCTATTTGCTTTTTCTGTGACTCAAATTATAAAGGTGTTTTGTCAGAACTTTATTATCTTCAAATTGTTGTTTTCATGATATTTTTTTTCTCCAAGTAAAATCAGTTGCCTTTATTTTTTAATTTTATAATTTTTTAAAAGATTTGTTTATTTATGCATACAGAATATCATGCTGTTAGCAGTGTTTTAATAATAATGTATAAAATGCTTTGGAGCACATATGAGATATATGGTAATTCCACAAAGGGAGCTGGGAGGGAAAAGTGATCATGTTTGATATGGGCCTTGAAAGATCAATAGGAATTTGCAAGTTAGATAAGGTAGGGAGTGATGTTCTATATTGAGTGAACAATGTAAGGCCATTCTTCCTACTTTCTCACCTCAAAAACTTTACTGCTCATGGAGACTGATATAGATAATGCTTATAATCTGTTTTATTTCTCATTATAGGGCTCTTGAATTGGCTGTAAAATATAAAACACATGTTGATACAGTTCTTGCTTACCGTCAAAAGTTTTTGGAGACATTTGGTAAACAAGAAACTAATAAACGATATTTGCAGTATGCAGAAGGTGTAAGTACTATACAGTATTTTATAATAATGGATATGTAGTATAAATATAATATTCGTCTTTTGAATCACAATTTGAGTGATTCATATCAATCTCTAAAACATTACTTCTGCATTATTTTGACTACATAATCATATTACTACATTTTTTTCTGGAATCTTTCAGTTTATTTTTTAACTTAAGTCTGTTTCCATAATATTCAATTTGTGTTAAGATTGATTGCTAGTTGATAGTTTTAAATAAACAAAAAATGCCTGGGATAAATGCTTTTAATGCCTAAATTTTGTCTTCTACCAGCTACCCCTTCTGTTTCACGGGAAATATATAACCACAGAAAGTTCTGACCAGAAAATACATATTTTGTGGCTGCAGAATTCTAGGACACTACCTCATGAGATGCTCAATCTAGCATTCATTGCCTAGAACTAAAGAAGGCTAAACTGTTGCGTCTCATTCTTACCAGAATCTCAAGTTTTATGATTCCAATTAAAAGGAAATCATTCCAAAACATGCCAGCCTACAAGGAGACCCAGAATAAAGGAGGCTATTCAGCGCCTGGAGCAGAGCTGATTGTGGCCACCTGCCTAGACCCTTCTAATTCAAAGTCCAGAAATAGAGTTCATCTCTAGTCATATACATCTAGGAGACTTGAAATTCAAAGACAGACCCAGTCTGCTTCCAGCTGTGTGAATCAGATGATTTCCTAGCCTTTTTATTCATTTATTTATTGAAAAAATGTGCTTGGTGTTGAATCAGTTATAGGTTTAGTTTTCATGGAGTTTATAGACTGTGTGTGTGTGTGTGTGTGTGTGTTTTTCCTTGGGGTTGATAAAATGGCATGTTTTGATCCATTCTAGAGGACCAAGGTATATTAAAGGAATCTTGGAAAGAAGTAGTATGGTAGGAAGGAATCACCTACAGTTCCTACTAATACCAAAATTATCCATTCACTGTATTTAGAATACTGAATTTCATAATCTGTTTGGTTTTTATTTTATTTTGTTTTTTAGCTTTGAACAGTTGCTTAGGGTAGTGAAGCCTATTGGGCCATCTGTAGAGTTCTGCAAGCAACTCAACACCTGGATCTAGGATAGACACAAGTTGTTGGTTTCTTGGTAGAAATAGGCATATTTTATAGAAACTCACACTATTTTTGTTTTGGATTTGTTTAGTCATTAAAATGAATCCTCTGGGAGTTTGGACTCTGAGGGCTTTCTCTACAACTAGAAAGTCTCAGGGTTCCTGGGACCTCTGGGGATCACACTGTAATGCACAAACTATGCACAGCTACCTATCACAGTGCCAGGGAGTTCCAAAAGCCAGCTGCTCACTTGGTATTTTGTCACATACTTTTGTTTTATAAACATGATAGTGTTAAAATTGAGCACCTACCTTAAGTTTACTCATTGTATAATTTTTTTTAAAGATTTATTTATTTGTGCATACAGAATTGGGGTGCAGGCCAGAGGCTCAGGGGCGGTGAGAGGCTTCACCAGAGACAGAGCGGGGAACAGAACAGGCAGAT